CTCATTCCTCTGTTTTTCTCCTCTGTTCACTTCTCTGGAGCCTCAGCGTTTTTCTTCACATGGCTTGCCAATTTCAAACTCATCCTCTTCTCCTTCGACAAAGGTCCTCTTTACCCACTTCCACAAAATCTCTCCCGGTTCATCTACTTCACTTGCTTCCCCATCAAGCCTCAACAAAGCCCTAAAACTCAAGACCAGATCCCAAAATGGGTTTTCGCCATTAAAGTTGTCCTCTTTGGTGTGCTGTTACATACGTATGATTACAAGCAACACTTGTCTCCCACTATGCTCTTGGTTCTCTATTCTCTGCATATATATTTGGAGCTTGAGATTCTCTTAATGCTCGTCAAAGTTTGGGTCTTTATCTTTCTTGGATGCGATCTAGAGCCACAGTCCAATGAACCATACTTAGCAACATCTCTACAAGATTTTTGGGGTCGCCGGTGGAACCTCATGGTTCCGGCGATCCTCCGGCCAGCTGTTTACAGCCCGGTGCAGCGAATAGCTGAATGGAAAATGAGCTCTGATCACGCTAGGTTTTTGGCGGTTTTAGCGACATTCTTGGTCTCCGGTGCAGTTCACGAGCTGATTTTCTACTATATTAACCGTGAGATGCCTACAGGAGAAGTCACTTGGTTCTTTGTGTTACATGGAGTTTGCACGGCGGCCGAAGTAGTGGTGAAGAAGAGGACTTTTGTGGGGCGGTGGAATATGAGTCCGATGGTTTCGCGACTACTTACGGTAGGGTTTGTGGTGTTGACCAGTGGATGGTTGTTTTTCCCTCCTCTTATAAGAGGTGGCATGTTTGTGAGACTCCCTAACGAAGCCTTGCTGTTTATTGATTCTGTCAAGCACAAGTTCTTTACGTTTGGGTCATAATTCGTGGGTGTATGTGTCTTTTATTTGTAGCTGGATTATCAAACTATATTAATTGGTGGAATTTCATAATAACACTAATTGTGATTCGTGATTTTAGTTGATCATCTTCGTGGAAACGTCTCTGGTCTTAAATTATCCAACTGGTGATATTTAATGACTAGACATGAAAACTAAAATTTAAAACAGACAATGTACGGTGGGCACTTGGATCCCATGTTAGAACCTCCCCCAAGTCTGATGGTCCATGCATTACCATTCCAATAATGTTATGCTCATTATTCTGATTTGCCAGAGGATGGGCTCTTTCCCATCTCAGACTCCAATTCAACCTAGTGCACACAATTTCTATGCATCCTAGTTTTCCGTGGCAACCATCACCACTACCGGTACACGAAGTCCCAGTTACCCTTATATTAGTATATATGGCGGTTGGGTTATTGATTAGAGAAGCTCTCATTTACCTTTTATTGGCAACATTTTTAGTTTGATCGATCTTAAAAGTTGTAGGATAAGTGGATAACTAAAAGAAGAAATCTATATTTTTTTTTTTCTGTGTTTGAAAACTCATCCACGTTGTTGCCGCATAATCTCCAGTTTTTGGTTTTGCTAGTAAGTCTTTTGGCTGTTTAAAAGTAAAATAGAAAAGGAAAGTAATCCAAATGTCGTTCAACTCATTTATTGTGGTGATACTTCACTATTGGACCACGTCAAACTCCTATGCTTTATAGCATCTCCAATCTCACTTCATATTTCATTCCAAAATAAAGATAAAAAAATGATTCATTATTCTAATTTGTACTCTATGAAATCAAATTTAACTTACTCCGTAAATGGAATAGTTCTTTTTTTCTTTCATATTGGACTCTAAAATAGAGAGCGTAAAACTCAACTCTATTTTAGAAAAAATTGAAGTTTTATATTGGAATGCTCTTAAACATAATTAGCAAATGTCATTTCTAAGAAATGGAAGAAGGGTGAGAAACTTAAGTATATATAGATATCTGCCTTAATCTCTATCTTTTATTGTTATTTCATATCATCTAGAATCTCCAAAGTTGTTCTTCCCTCCTTTCTATTCTTTCAGTCTGCATTTCCTTTTTACGACTGGTATATTGTTTACCCTTCACGTGCTGAGAAGTATTATGCATAAAAAGTGATTAATGATGGAAGTACCATAATATAATGGTTAACTAGATTTCGACCCGCGCTTAAAAGCGCGGAAATTTTTAATGATTAAAAATTTAGATAATTGGGGCTTTGTCTTAATTTAAAGAATGTTTTGGTATAAAATCAGTTCACCAAAATGTGTGGTGATGATTGTTTTTCATTTGTTTTTAGTTTCAATTTTTATTTTTAAATTTTGTTTTAGATTTAGATTTTGTTGGGTTTTAATTTTTAAGTTTCTATTTTTGATTTCAGCTTTTGGTTTAAGTTTTTAATTTTTAGATCCGCTGAGTTAGTTTGAACTGATATTACCCAAATTTTTTATGATTAAAAATTTATATAATTGGGGTTTTGTCTTAATTTAAAGAATGTTTTGGTATAAAATCAGTTCACCAAAATTTGTGGTGATGATTTTTATTTCATTAGTTTTTAGTTTCAATTTTTATTTTTAGATTTTTTTTTAGATTTTGATTTTTTGGGTTTTAATTTTGAAGTTTCTATTTTTGGTTTGCGTTTTTAATTTTTAGATCTTCTGAGTTAGTTTGAACTGATATTACCAACAAACAAATCTCAATTAATCGAACATATAATTTAAAACTGAAAAGATGACAAAATAATTTTCTAAAAATTTTGAATTAGTTTATTTTGTAATAAAAAAAGCAAAAAATATAATTCAAGCGCAGAAATTTTTTATGATTAAAAATTTATATAATTGTGTTTTATCTTAATTTAAAGAATGTTTTCGGATAAAATTAGTTCACCAAAATTTGTGGTGATAGTTGTTTTTCATTAATTTTTAGTTTCAGTTTTTATTTTTAGATTTTGTTTTAAATTTTGGTTTTTGGTTTTTAGTTTTTAAGTTTCTATTTTTGATTTTCAACTTTTGGTTTGGGTTTTTAATTTTTAGACCTTCTAAGTTAGTTTGAACTGATATTACCAACAAACAAATCTCAATTAATCGAACATGTAATTTAAAACTGAAAAGATGACAAAATAATTTTCTAAAAATTTTGAAATAGTTTATTTTATAATAAAAAAAAACAAAAATATAACCTGCGTTTTCAGCTTTTGGTTTTGGATTTTAGTTTTTAGATTTGGTTTTTGGTTTTGCTTTACATTTTTTTTAAATCTGTAAATTATTTAAGAAAAATAAAACAATAAATTATTTAAAAGTTACCATTAAAATTTATCAAGATAGAGTGATTGTTATTTAAAAAAAAAATATTAACATGTTTTAAAGTATATGATTTAAATAAGTGATTAATAATAGATAATTTTGTTTTTTTGAAAATATTAAATATTTTTGGGCTTGAAAATAGTAATTGATTTTTGGTCCATTAAGGTGGAAAGTTTATTTAATGTTTTTTGGAGTTTTTCTTTAATACTAAGTCGAAAAACCAAACAATTAAATGTCATAAAAACAAAAGTAAGCCCAAAACTCTATTCCATAAATAACCGCCGGTGTAATTTAAGTAATGCGGTTCAATCAATTATATAACTTGTATTATTTGTAACACTCTAGAAAGGGTCCAAATTTAAATGACAACTTATATCAGTAGATAAAAAGAATGACTCTATTTTAATAGAGTAGATGGTTAATGTTTAAATGTTTTTTATATCAAGTCTGGAATTTAATTTTTAGAGGATGCGATTTTTTTGCTGACTATATGATGTAAAACTTATTAAAAAAATTAGAGTGTTGCAGGTAGAGCTATTTCTTATGATACTGCTACAGAAAAAACCTACTCATCAAAATTGTTTTACACATAGAGCCATCTGTTGATCATAGTGTTACGGGAAAAACTACAATGTAGAAACGTTGTTTGTGAAGTTGTTTATTAATATCGCATATGTTATAGTGTTTTGAAAACGAGTGATCAATCCCTTATATACAAAAAGATAAACATTACAATATTTTATTTATAACACATGTTATTATTGGAATGTTATTTCAAAGTCCTTAGAAAAATAAATTGTCTATTAAATATATATTATCATTTTTCTTAAATTAATCACAAGTTAATTAATAATGTACCATTAATATATTTCATTATTTTCTTAAATAAAAACTAAGAATATGATTAAAGTATATATATTATTGATAATAATGATATGATAGCAATTTGTGTATCCTCCATCCTTTATGTTAAATTTTATATTTTATATTATTGACAGAAAATAAAAAATTATGTTAATCATATAATAAAATTAACATTTTTGTATATGTTATAATTTTTTTTTAAAAAATTAATATAAATTACCAAAACTGTTAAAAATCCACATTAAAAAATTTGAGATTAATAGTTTAGTTTTCCATTAAAAAAATATATAATCCCTCCGTTTCAAATTAATCCATATTATAGAAAATTTATTTGTTTCAAAAAGATCAATTTTTTTATATTTTCAATGCAAGTAATAATGATAAATAGTAGATTTCACGAAAATTAATTATTTTATTGAATTTTGATTGGTTATCTCTTATGGGAAATAGTTAAACACAAAAAAATAATGCACTTATAATCAAAATTTAAGAGTTTTTTTAATATGTGTGATAATATTAAAACATCTATCATATTGAAACGAAGGGAGTATATCATCATGAACAATATGGGCAAAAGTCTCATTTAATAGATATTCAAAATAATGTATATTAAAGTATATAACATGTAACATATAAAAATATACAGATACTTTATTTTCAAAATTTACATTGAACAAGAATTGAGAACTTAAAATGTTACTTATGAAATTGGTAGTGAATTTTCAAGATCAATTATCAATATCTAAACTATTAAAATCTCACAGAGGAAATTTTGTTATCACGAATTTAGAAATTTATTTATCACGAATTTAGAAATTTTGTTATACAAAATACTTAGAATCATAAAACCATAAGATTAAAATGTCTTATTTAATAGATATAGATATTAAAATATATTATATATCTATAATAATATCATTTAGATTTAATTATATCTACCCAAGATATAGGAATGATTGTTTAAATTTATTTATCATAAAATGATTGTAAATAAAAATAATGTTTTAAAGTTTTTGTGTCAATTTAATTATATATGTAATAGTTAATTGTTTTCAATTATTAAATCTAAATTTATTATTTTTCCAATTTTGTAATATTTAAAATAAGTAATAATATGTAAAAACAATTTATATTTATAACGATTATTCTGGTAAGAATCGATCTTAAAACTTTAAACTTGTGAATGTTTTATGTTTGTTATATAACGACGACGTTACATATACGATGGGAAGTACAACATAGGGATGTTACTAATCTACCTTTAATCTTTGAGCGTTGGTGACTGACGGATCGTGGAAAGATAACAAAGATTACTACGGTCAAGGTTGGTATAATACATTAGAAAGATTTGTTGGACTTATGAGAGCAAGAAACGTCAGGGCTAATCTCTCGCATTTTCATGCTAAAATGAAAGTGCTAATTTAGACGATGGTGTATATGAAAAATTTGTTTCAGTTCCAGGTAATATTTGCAACGAATTGTTCTCAATTGTTGATGATGATTTCGAAACCAGAAAAATAGTCAGTATTTGCATCTTATTTGAAAGATACTAAAACACTGAGGAAGAGCTTCCTCAACTCGGAAATCATTATATATATATACGTTGTCAAATTACAAGTCGTTCAAATTTAATGCAACGCTTGTAATTGTAAGAACAGTTTGTCCTTATCCTCATCGTTACTACCGATAAGGCCACACTCTTGGGAAGTAGAGGCATTGGCAGCCATGAACTTTGTCATGCGTTACAAATTGGCCTATGATCCAAGCAAAAAAAAAAGAATAAGATTTTGTTCAAATATATTTCAAGAGACTAAGAATTCGATTGGCAATGATTTTGACTTTAGGTGACTTTAAAATTGTGGCCATAGAAATTTGATTTTAAAAGT